TGTAACCAAGAATAGTCGACCCAGCAACAAAACCACCAACAGCTCCATTGATAAAGTCTCTCTTCATCCTGTAATTCTGCACGATCTGCTCAACACCAATGTACACTCCCCCAATTGCAGCAAATGTGATCCCGTAGTTTCCCATCATCTTAAGGGTCCTTATCAGCCCTGGAAGAGCGACACTTCTCTCAACACGAGGCACATCATACCAAGTAGCAACTATGGTCCCAAAAATAGTTCCAGTAACAAATCCATTTGTTGCACCCTTAATTGTCTTCATGGTAGGACTATCCTCATCCTCCAAGTACCTGCGCTCCGAGGGGTCCAAGGAGTCCATGACTGTCTAGTACTAACTGGGCACTGACAAAAACTGCAACAAAGTAATACATATATCAGCACTTAGGCCTCATTAAACCTTTCCCAAAGGGAATCTTTCAACTTCTACCATGCAAGGCAAAGAAGGAAACTGTGTTTTCCTTTGCTCTCTCTGTTTTTAACATATAAGCTTTACTGGGTTCAAATTCTATAGAAGCATTCATTTCCCTTGATGGGCAGTAAGTGACATACATTTAGCAGTTCTACTCACCCATATTTCATTTCTTTAAAAAAAATTCTTCCACACTAACAAACTAAGCATTTGGGAAAGAAAAAAAATAAATCCTAACATGAAAATTTGGGCAAAAAAAATAATAAAAAATTACAGAAGAATGAGTAAAATCTTATTTTGTTTCATAATAAGGCATTGTTTGATAATCAATTCCAGAAAGAAAAAAAGAAAAGAAGAATTCATCCACATAGATGCAATCAAACACAAATTCCACAAAACCCAAATATTATGTGACTATTAACACAAAATCGAAGCTAATTTGAGTAAATGCTAACGCCCGAAATGAAGATCCAACCATCAACAAAACAAATTTAAAAATTGATAAATCTAAACCCTAAATATGTATATGCATATGATCGAGGAGCATCTGAATCCATGAAAGAGCCAAAACGAAAGCAGAAGCTCAGGCGAAAAATGAAAATTACCTTTTCAGGAGAAAAATGAGAAGCTGGCGAGTTTCTACTCTGTGCTCTCACTACGAAGACACACAAGAAACAAAGACTATCAGCAAAAATGGTCGAAAATGGCATCTGCTCCTTGCTGCACCAGATTACCATTACTGTGTGCAATGACCATTTTGCCCCTCCCTCAAAATTGGGCCTCCTATACGACGGCAGTCCGTAAACCGTGTTGTTTTTCATTTGGGCCCCGACCCGTTTACCCGTAAACCTCCTGCAACCGCTTTCATTTCAGACTTTACAGTCTTTCACTCATTTCTCAAATCACACAGAGCTGAGATTCTGAGAAGAAGGGAAACTGCTTTCCCTAGAAAACGTTTTCCCGGAAAATGCCAGAAGACATTGGCAAACTCCCAATCGACATCACATTTTCTCGTCTCGGAGGTACATAGAACCACCGGAACTCAATTTTTCCTTTCAGATTTTTTTATATTTATGTTTTTTTGGGGATTGATAATTTTGTTCGTTGGGATTGAATTGAAGTTCCTAAAGATATCAATCCCTATTTCAGTAGCTTAGAGGCTGATGGTTGGTTTTTTCAAACTTAATCCATTTTCGAATTGTGAATTTGTGATTCTATTGGGAATTGGGTGCTTGAGAATTCGTAATTTCGTCTCAATGGGTTAACTAAAATGCTATTTCTAGGAATTGGTTACTTGGAGGCCAAACAGATATATGATATTCTTGCGAAGTCAGCTCCAGAAACCCGGAATATATTCGGCCGGCTATCCGGTGCTGCTGTAAGACCTTCAACTCTCTCTCTTTCTCCTTTGCACAAACATACTTGAATTCTAATATGAATATATATGCGTGTATAAATTTTGTGTTTTGTTTGGGTAGGGTGCTTGGGAATCAATTGTACGTTCTTTTGAGAAAGATTATGTATATCTTGGCGAGGCTGCTCAAATAATGGTTCAGAATGTGAACTATGAGATGTAAGATTGTGGTTTTGTCATTGCCTGCTTGGTTACTTCATGATAAGAAGAATAGTTAAAACTTAAGGGTATTTATATGTGATTTGTATTGATTATTCTTTTTATCCTGTTATGAAGTCCATATCAGAAAAAGCAGGTGCAAAAGATTCAGCAACAATTAGCAGAACTAGAGCACAAGGAAGCTGATATTAAGAGAAGTGCAGCTCTATCAGCAGCCAAGTATGTAGAGGCTTGTCAAGAACTTGGACTGCAGGTTATATCTTGGACCCCCCTACTTGTTGTTTTCTCATTTGGCTTGATAGGTTTTCCTTCTTAAATTTGGTATCTGTCTGTCTGGTTCTTTTCTTTAGGGAAAAAATGTGAGGTTGGAACTTTTAGAGACTGCGAAATCACTTCCAAGTACATTTAGCAAGATTTTGGAAGTTTTAAATGGTGATTCTGTGTCAAGGGCTCTGGAGTATTATTCAAACTTTGTTAGAGATGCTCACACAGACAAGGATGTAAGGCGATAATTTTTTATTTGTTTCATGATATGAAGAATAACTTCTTTATTGTTTGTAGATGTTGATGGAAGTTTGAGATCATTGTGACTAATATCATAAATCAACTCTGTTATTTGTGAATGTGATCACAGAGGTCTTTGGTCGTGTTGACAAACTTGAAAGATTTACGTGAACATCCCCCATCATTGAATGTCCCTATAGGCTCAGAGGTTGTTGATTCTGGGAATGTTCAATCAAGCAATGATGAGACAAACAATGTGAAAGTGGATGTAGACATTAATGCAGATAGTATAGACTGGGATTTTTCTGTGGATAGTTCTCAGATTGATTGGGATATTGGTACTTTGGAAGAAACAGAGGATACTGGTAATGGTTTGGGTCCTTATGAAATGGTTAATGCGAGTGAGATCTTGCAGAGTGCTCCAAATGAAGCTGTAAAATCTGATCAGATCCCAGAGATCTCCGTGTCAGAGATATCTTGGGATATTAGTGTTGAGACTCCTCAGGTTGATGTGATTGATGATGTCAATTTTCCTAATGTAATCGTAGACAATCAAACATCTGGTCTTGATACTTCAACTGAAACAACTGAAATCAAGGAAGGCAGGAGCCAACTTTTGGAGACAGAGTACAGGAACAAGATTCTTGATGATCTGAATGAGGTATATGACAATTTTTCATATGGCTGCATTGGATCTATTTGTTCCATTTGTTCTTCTGGTATAATATTGTCGGTTTTTGACTGAAAGATCCTGCTAGTTCCTGTTTTATATCTGTGGTCTGATCACGAAGCTTCCTTTACATGAATTCATGTTCTCTATTAATATTCTGCTATCAGGTGAAAGCTTTTTTAAATCAGCGATTGGTTGAGTTGAAGAATGAAGAAACTTTGTCCTTGCAACATCAAGTCCAGGCAGTTGCTCCCTTTGTGCTGCAGCAATATGCTCATGATGCCATCGAGGCAATGCTATCTGATGTTTCTTTGGCCATTTCACTTCTGACAAATAGGAAGACAAGGGACTTGATTATGATTCTCAACTCCAAAAGGTAATACAAAATATTTTTTTCTTGATTTGTGTCTTTTTTAAATTCGTTTTAGGTGTTTATATTTTGAATTTCAAACAAGAAAATCATAGAATGTTCCCAAAAACAGAATCAGTGGCAGTATTTAGTTAAATTGAACAAAATTCCCTGCCAAATTTGTGCGGCACACAGACAATTTGCGTATATTAGCAGCTTGAATGTAACTTTTTGTCAGTACAAGAAATAATGAGGCCATAAATCTGGAGACTGTACTTGCTTGATCTTGTTTCTCTTTCTATCTTTGCATGGTTACTCCTAATTGTTTGTTACATTACATCAGAAAGATCCTTTATACCATCAAATAAGTTTTTTAATAAAAAATTTTAAACGTTTAAATTGGCTTCTTGTTGCAGCTTTCTAGAATTGGCTAATCCTATGTCGGATAATTTTATTTTAATTGTGGTTTTAATGAATAGGTATAGGTTAAATTCCTCTTCCATTCTAGCTGCAATATTTAGCATGTTACTTAAGTAGCCTTGCCATTATCCATATACTATAATTCTTTACTACTTAATCGGGTTTTTTGGTTTTGTTTCTGTTCTGTGAACTGAAGTAGGATACTTATGTCAACCTTAATTTCAGGTTTCTAGACAGATTAGTGAGTTCATTGGAAGAAAAGAAGCATCATGAAGTTAAGTTGAAAGATGGTTTGAAGGGCATTACTGCCAAACGCATGGAGCTGCAAAATTCATTATCTTCTTCCTGGCCTAAGCAGGTTATTGATAGCTTTGTACCCTTACATATATTGGGAGTGGGAGGGTTGAAGTCTCCCAGTTTTAGTGGTCAATTCTTTTGGTTCTTCTGGTATAAAATTAGGAAATTTATGTTTGCCATGTAGTTATGATCATACGTCTGTTTCTTTCTTTCCCCTTCCCCTTAACTCTGACTGCTGAAAGATAGCTACTCTAGAATCAGTCATTTTATGTTGTTTTTGACTTCTGGGCCTCTGGTCCTATCTTGCTTCTGTTTGTGTAAAAATACTATTATTCAGAGAAAAGCAATCATCCACTTTCTCTTTGTTAATGTCAGTTTGAATTTTTGGCGGAAAATACTAACTCCTGGTTCTATTACAGGAAGCGGCTCTTGCAAAAACACGGGAGCTGAAGAAGCTGTGTGAAAGCACCCTTTCATCCATATTCGATGGAAGACCTGTTAATATAATTGGAGAGATCAATACCCTTTTGACTAGTGGCCTTGGTGCATAGGAAGATGGTTGCTTCCTTTCATCCATGTTTCATGGAAGATCTGTTAATATAGTTGGAAAGATCAATACCCCCTTAGACTTTAGTGGGCTAAGGAAGATATAGTTGTAGAGATCATCCATGTTTAACATAATCGGACACATCAATACCATTTGAATAGTGGCCTTGATGCACACGAAGATGTTGACTTCCAATGATAGTAAAACATTCCATACTTTGCGTTTGTGTTTTATTTGATTTGATTTTTATTTTTTGAAGTCGTGGTTGTCTTTTTGCTTCAAGATCTTACAAAAATTGAAGGAAAAAAAGAAAAAAAAAAGTCTTTTAAAATCCCAGTGAATCCATTAAAGAAGTTTCCCTAACTGTTATCAAACTCAACATATAATTTTGCAGAAATCAGTCACTTCAGCTTTGTGTAGTCTACAAAAATGACAGAGAGCAATAGTACGTATATATTTTGGACCCTTTAATTTCTCTTATGGCGAAGATTGCCAAATACGCCAATGCATGAAAAGAAGGCCTGTACAAAAGAATATACAGCATTTGTCATGGGAGAGAACACAATCTTGTAGCAAACATCCAACGCAGCAGATCCAGTTTGTGTGTAGCGATCAAATGGACAAATAGCTCATTGAAGGTGAGCCCATGAACTGGCTGTTGGTTGAACGGAAAGATCTCTCGAAAGGGTCAACTTGAACACCATAACCATCTACTCCTTTACCTTTCCCCATGTAATTCAGTTTCTGGATTAGTCTTGATAGAGATCCCACAACCTCAGACATTGGCGGTCGGAATTCCTTCACGGGCTGTTCAAGTTTCAGTGACACAAACAAAAAAAATCAAATTTTTTCAACAGGTAAGAAACACCCATCAAAGCAATTACATGTTATCAGATAGAAGCTAACGTTTGTTCAGTGCATAAGCAACTTCAACAGAAAAATGACTTCTAAAAACACAGCTTTCAACTAATAGCTTCAAGTAATAACAGTACTAGAATCGGTTTTTGTTTTTGGACTTCCCTAAGACAACAGAGATTCTCTTAATGCATAAATTTAAGGTATGTGCTTGTACCTGTATACAGAGGGAGACAATGTCAGCAAACTGGGAGATAGCCTTGGAGGAAAATGTCCTTATAATGCCGGGATCAATCATCTCAGCAAGACTCTCACTGTCATGAAGCCGGAATGAAGCCCATTTCACCAGTGATTGCTCCTCCCTTGGTCTTGAACTATGTATATCAAAATAGCAGCATACGTTCACAATCAAGAAACAAGACAATAATAATGTTGAGAAATGGGAAAAATGCGTATGAACCATGCGTACTTATCGAAAGGTTT